ACCAGAAGAGGCTCCCAGACCAGGGTCCCCGCCGCGCGGTCGGACTGACAAGCCCGGCAGCACAGTTTTGCGGCGCTGGTGGTGAAAGATATGGGCCTGGCGGTCGGAGCGCTGCCGACCCTGGGACTTAACGAGCACGTGTGGAGGCGTTGGGCTCGGGCACGTTAAGCGGTCGTTGATCTGAAGTGTGGTTTGGCTTGCGCTGCAGCTCTGTTTCACGTGACCAAAATCCTTTCGTTGATGCTAGTGCTATTTGTATTCGCTGGCATTGCTGAATGTCTAGACCGACCAATGTATCAAATAAATCCGACGTGATTTCGTGCCCATCCTAGTTGTTAGCGTGCTTTATGGACTTTGTAGGCTGTCGGCTATAACTATTTTAGCTTGCATGCAGTGACCGCGTTCTGATAAGCCAGCCTATTGCACATCTAAATGGAGTGGATTCTGCCTATTGATTGGCTTCAGTGTGTTCCAAAGTGGTGTTTACTGGACCTGAAAAGTGTTGATACCAGCACTTGACGCTGGGATAGGCCCATTTTCACAGAAAGTCACAGGCGGCGTGCTGCTGCTTCCTGTGCTTCGAGATGGAGTACGTCCCATATCCCGTATGATCCCAGCCACTGTATAAAGCGGTTGGGATTCCGCCGTCATTGCTGCCCCACAGAGAGGGAGGCCTGCCACAATCCGTCCCTGATCTCGGCGCGACGGCCTGGGCGTTGACTGCGGGGCGTCTGAGGCAGATTGCCAGCTGGTAAGGACAGGCTGACAAACGTGTCGGTCTGCACAGCGCCTCAGTACTCTGGATAATGACTGGCCGTGTCCTGAGATACCACGGACGCATTTTGCTCTCGAGTTAAGACTAAACTATAGTTTCCTCGTGTTGTGATCAGAAATATCTTAATTTTTTTACACCGGGATCAGCCGTACATAAATACTGCGTCACTGATATGGTATAACCACGCCTCCTTGATTGTGCGTATCTACTGTAATGCTTAACCGAAATTAGGTGCATCATTGGGGTCATTTTACCAGGATCGCATACATGTTTTCCCCTTTCACCACGGACAACTTTTTCATTGTCTCTATACAGAGCGTTCGTGCACATCTATGCCTTTTTGCATCCAGATTCAGCATGCCGTTATTCCTGATACGGAGATCATGGACATCTTGCTCCCCCCGCATGGGCGCACCCGCTTGCTGGACGCGCCGCCACACGTCTGTCAGCATTAGCCGGCGTTCAGCGGGGAAGCCTGGAGCGATGCCGCCTGTCATCCGGTCGCGGACACGGCGACTAATGTCGCTGATAATGGAATGATGGAGTAAAAGCGGCGCTAATTCGGCAGCGTGGGCCCGCACCAGCGCGGTCAGCTTGAGCCCGTGCGCACGAGCATCAGCTGTCACGGCAAAGCCGCGCGCTGATTGGATGGGCCGGCACTGACGTAAGCCGATTCTCGGCGCGTCAAACAAGACGTGATTTGCGCAGGCGTGCGCTTTTGGGCTTGGGGTTTGTATGGCCGCCCCGGTTTCGGCGTCAGGCTGAGCTTCCGCTTAAAACAGCGTGGTGTTTACGAGGTGAGAGGCGCCCATTTCGTGTCAGCGCCGATCTCCGTCACGGAATGTGCGGCTGTTTCACGTCTGTGTCTTGTCTGAGACCTCCTGCAAGTGGCAGCCTGAATAGATACCTGTTCTGTGTCAGCGTTTGTGCCCTGCTACACCACGGTTACAAGTCATAAATGACAGCCACGAACTCTCGGGCGGCCTGTGGACCATGTGGCCCCCAAAAAGGGTACCGATCCGTTCTACCACAGCGAATGTCCATCCCTTCCCCTCCCCCAACTCCTTATTCGGCCAGGCAAGCCTCCGGCGGACAAGACGCCTCATCATTCGACGCCTCCATGTATAACGATGAACGCGGAGACCCAAAGACGTCACCTGGCAGCTCATCCCGGCAGCGTTTATCAGTTCCCGGGTTTCTTCTTTCTTTGCTTTTTCACTCTCCCATTCTTCAACAGATACACCCTCCAACACAGTCCGCACGAGCTGGGAATGCAAGACAGTACCGAATCCTCCGAGGCAGTCTAGCAGTCACCTACCTGAGGAGAGTTGCGCGTGTGGGTTATAATGCCGAAACAGCCTTTAGTCTAGCAGAAACAAATGATTGTAGTTGAGATTATTTCATCAGATGATGTGTCCGGGAGCGGATACACGCCTGAAGTTTCATATACGATGTGAGATGGTTATTTTAGATAATCAGAAGGCGTGCCAGATGAGAGTCGGCTCTTGCTTGTGAGTTGGGTGCCGCTGAAACTGTCCAGTGACGTGTGTAGGCATGCTGGCCCAACCAGGGGTCTGAAAATGTTAGATGATGTGCTCAAGCCCTTAGGTTATTGAACCCAGAAGCAACTTTGGCTCTCGTGATGTGGTGGTACTTGTGAATTATTGGTCACAATAATTGCAATATGATTCATAATATGATAAGCCTTGTTGTGATCTGCACGCAGAAATTCATTTCAAACAGGCAGCATGCTGTGTTCGGCACCTTAGCACCAGCTAGGCCACAACAACTTATTGCACTTGTCCCAATGGAAACTAACAAACCACTTAAATTCAAAGTAATCATATGATCGCACCTTGCGATTGATTTTCTAAACCTCTCCGATGTAAAAGCAGACTGGCGCGGATTTATTTTACAATTTGTTCTGGCAAGTCGAACCGGACAAGATTGGTTTGAGAAACCTGGGAGCAGCGACGTGGCAAGCTAATTGAATCTGTCCTAACCGGACTAGACTGGACCGGACCCTGAAAACTCCATCCGTTAAGAGTGCTCTACCGTTGAGAGGGTTACGTCAGACAGGGGGGTAGGGGGCACACCTAAAAGGGGTACAAACCGACACCCGTGATGGCTAGCGGAAGACTGTGGTCGGCTGAAACTGATGCCACTCGGCCACTTCCCGCACTCCTTGGGTCAATGCCACATACACAAACCGCTTAATCAGCCAAACATCACGAAGCATCAGCAAAGCCTTCCAACCACCATTGCCACTTCTAAACGACCAGCTGTGAGTAAGGGCCCACAAAATGCCCGTTTGCCTGGCTGTGAGCTCATGGCAAAGGTCATCGTTGACGAAATGTGTGCGACGTGCTCCCTTTCACAACGAGGCAATTTTGTTCCAAACGGCAGCGTGTCGGTTTTCCTGCAAAGCTGTCACCAGAGATGGGCAGTGACAATATTAGATTGGACCGGCGCTACGTCGCGTTTGGTGATGAAGTGTGGTACCTGTGGACTAATCTATCGGACTGTGGTCCCAGCCGGTAGTGTCATATCCTACACAATGTTTCTTTCCGACCATCATCAGGAGCTAGGTGGCCCTGAGAAGAAGCTCACGATGGTTGACATGCATCCATGGCTTCCTGTCGACTTGATCAACGTTGCTACAGCTGGGCTACACTACCGGTTGAAACAGCACTCCGCTTCATTTACGAAACTTGCTGCTCGGATTACAGTGATTACCTTTATGCAGTAACATTCTCGAGGCGGTAATTAGGTGGCACGCTTGAACAAACCATTTTCCACCAACGTAATGTAAAGTGACCGAAACCTGGAGAGTGGTTATACTTTGGGAGCGGGACCAGTCTCACGCCACATGCGCTGAGCCTGCCCAACCAATTCTGCGGAATGACGCCCTTACCAGTCAAGTCTGACACCTGACGAAGAGAGCAGTCGCACGCGACGCCCTGTTGACGTGCCCGGTGCTCATCTGACGCCGCTGTGATTGGTGTTGGCAGCTCGGGCGCGCGCCGGTGAGTGCGAGGAGGCGTCGACTGGGCCCCACCTGGCGCTGCGCTCGGGCCGCGCCGCCACAGCCGCGTCAATAATGCACGGCCGCTGATGGCACGGGTCCGGCGCAATCAGGCCGCGTCCCGGCGCCGGGTATCGCAGCTGTGGACCAGGGGCTAGGTACAGACCAGGGGCTAGGTGCGCACCAGGGGCTAGGTGCGCACCATGGGCTAGGTGCACACCAGGGGCTAGGTGCACACCAGGGGCTAGGTGCGCACCAGGGGCTAGGTGCACGCAAAGGGCCAGGAGCGCACCAGAGGCTAGCTGCACACCAAGGGCCAGGTGCGCACCAGGGGATTCGCGCACTCTGAGGAACACATGGGACTGTTACACTCCGAGGTACAGGCAGGACCTTATGGGGTGTAAGGTACAGACTTCAGAGCTGCTGTGGTCTGAGATACAGACCAAGGGACTACTGCAGGCTGAGACACAGACCGGGGGACTACTGCAGGCTGAGGTACAGACCGGGAACTACTGCAGGCTGAGGTACAGGCCGGGGGCTACTGCAGGCTGAGACACAGACCGGGGGACTACTGCAGGCTGAGGCACAGACCGGGGACTACTGCAGGCTGAGGTACAGACCGGGGGCTACTGCAGGCTGAGGTACAGACCGGGGCTACTGCAGGCTGAGATACAGACCGGGAGACTACTGCAGGCTGAGGCACAGACCGGGGGACTACTGTAGGCTGAGGCACAGACCGGGGGACTACTGCAGGCTGAGGCACAGACCGGGGGACTACTGCAGGCTGAGGCACAGACCGGGGACTACTGCAGGCTGCAGGCACGGCGCCGACCTGGCAACTACCGTTGTCACGGGCGCTGACCTTGAGGCCACGGGCGAAGGCTTTGAGGCCTTGGGCACCGTCTACTGCGGACTGAGTTTCAGAGAATACAATAATGCTGCAAGAGTTGGATGCTCAGGCCCTAATGCCACAGCACCCATGAGGTTTGTGCATGCGTATCTGAAGACCATTGTAATGTAATTTACATAAGGGAAATCTATCATAGCCTGAGTTGCAGATTTTGTTAGTGCAGTGGCCTGACGTTCAGCACATTGCAGGATCTTCGATGAGATGGCATTTCATGTGAGGTTCCTTTTCTTCAGTATTCGAGAATCGCAACATCTGTGGGTCGGTCTCTTATATTAACTAGTCTAGACACTTTTTCAGATGCGCTCATTATTGAATCGTGGCGCTCTTTTTCCAAAGCCACCGCTGGTACTGCGGAGTTAAATTAAAGGGGCAATACACGCTCCACGACTTCCATCAGACGGATGCACCTGAATGGTTTAGAAAATTGAATACACAACCGCATTGGTACTAGACAAGCAGCTAGTTAGAACGGTACATTAACTGATAGTAATTTCGCAAATAAGTGTTCGCTTCCAGATTTTTTTATGAAATACAACCGCACAAATATTGGGAAACATTTCTGTAACATTCTTCTGACCAGGTATAATATCTAGTGATCGGTGTCACATTTGGTGCACCGTCTGTTTCATATTCATCTGATCACAAGGCCAGGTCCTAAATGGGTTAGGTGCACTGTGCTGAGTACACCACTGGGTTTATTGAACACCCTACATTTCACAGGCCCTAGACACGTTCGTCTGAGAGTGATTAGTTTCCCAATTGCTGGTCATATGATGTTAGTAGGATGTTTTGCGTCACACAACACAAACAGCCGCTTAAGAAGGTACGGCATATAAAGCACTCAGCGTTCCGCTCACGGGGCTGTGGTTTCTTCATACCTGCATCCCGGTGGTCAAGTGAAATACAACAGACGTATTCTGTGAGGGGGTTAACGCTACACGTTTCAAATGCTCCGTGCCATCGGATGGCGTATTTCCACTGCTACAGCTGTTCTGGATATTAGGTCCCGCAGAGCACTCTAGTTTATTTGTGTCGGTTCTGTCGCGTCTGTTTGGCGGATTTCAGGTGCAGACCTTCGTCCCTGTATTATCCATACGAGACGATTGCTGATCTATGCCTCAGGCTCCGCGACTTCGTGTGGGGCACCCTCCTCTCGCTGAGCGTCATCGTTCTCCTCTTGCTGAGCCATATCGTCCTCCTGCTGAGGAGAATTCTCCTCCTCCTGGTCCCCGTCGCCCTCCTGCTCAGCGGAATCGTCCTCCCGCTGAACTTCGTCGCCTTCCTCAGCACCCCGCTGACCCTCAGCACCCCGCTGTTCATCTTCCGCTTCCTGTTCGTCCTCCGCTCGCGGTTCGTTCTCTGCCGGTAGTGGACCGTCGGCCCCGTCGGCGGCGACTTCTTGCTCGTCCTCCGCCGGCAGTGCACTGTCGGCTCCCTGCTGCGGCTCCTCCACCGGATCCTCCAGCTGACACTCCAGCTGGGTGGCCAGGCCGTCGGTGTCGCCTGACCGTGCCTTCTTCACCCGCTGCAGCGCGGCCACGGCCTTCGTCTTTGCCCAGAGCGCGTGCGTAGTTACCATGGTGGAGACGGTGTAGAACAGGCCGCTCTTGGCCGAAGACGGCTTCGTCCCCTGCTGCTCTTCCGGCTCCAGCGTGCCGTACGGAGCACGCACGCCGCATACGTTGGTGCGCCAGCACACGTCGTACGTCAGGCCGCCCAGGACCCCTGCGGTGCGGACGCGGCCCCGTCAGCGCAGACACGGATGGACGACAGGTGAGCTGAAAACGGCACGAGCCGAGGCGATCCTCTGACTGGGACTGCTGGACTGGTTAGACATTCATTGAGGCTTTCAAAAATAGACAGGTTTGGTAGGTTTTAAGCTCACCTCGGCCGACCTCACGAGAGACCTCAAGTGTGAAATGCTTGTTTTTGTCTAGCATGTCTATGATCCATGTCGGAACACTTAGGACAATCGGGAGTTAAGCCAGACGTGTATCTCTTAAGCACGTTGGCCGCATGATTGTCTCGAATAGCGACGGGATCATTCACGCAACGAAGCCTTCATGAATGCAGCTCTTGACTGCATGCAGATTAGAGATTCGGCAGAATGCGTAGCGTACACACTAAACGGGCATTTGCGAACAAGAAGTGAGCCTGTTTGGTCTGCACTCAACACTTACCAAAGGCCACCACCAAGGCGAGATAGCGCAGGTACCAGATGGCCGGCTTTGTCGGAGGCTCAGGCGGAACTGACAGAACAGGTCACAACAGACATGTCACAAACGATGCTGTAAGACGCAACTTACAAAAGAGGCCCCAACAGACATGTCACAAACGATGCTGTGAGACGCAACTTACATTTTGACTTACACTGCTTATGCATGCATTCTTCTGTTAAAGTCTTGCCTTTGCATCCCCCACGTCATTATTGCTACTCTGCATGGCAACTGAGACGCTGCGTGGAGGTCAGAAAGCCAGCAACGGGTCAGCAGACCGGGCAAGGCGTCTGCACGCTCAGAGCGTGCCCGAAGATCAGCTCATAGAGCTCTTTGGAACAAGTGTTCGTTTCAAAAGTGTCACGAAAACATCCAGGACAAGACCATTAAGATCAAAAGCATTTGCGTGGGAGAGAACCAGATGGCCCAGTGAGACTACATCTCACGTACGTGTGCCAACAACATGTCCAAAACAAAATCACTAAGGGGCCGGGCGTCTGCATGGAAGAGCAGCACCTGCCATTTTGGAGCAACATCTCACGTTCAAGGCGCGATGATTATCCAAGATGAGGTTAATAGGTAACGACAACTCTTGAAAAAAGCTATGAGAGTTGCATCAAACGGAACATCGTTCCACGCCGCTCACGTTTCACGCCGCACGTGGGCGAAGGACCGCCAAAGGACGGCCAAGAATGGCCTATGCAGACCACAGAAACCAGCCAGGGCAGAGCAAGATGATACAACCACCAGCCCCGCGGTCAGGTTCAAGTCTGAGCCAGAACCAATCAGTGGGGAGCGCACCACCGTGAGAGAAAGACCCCAGGCCAGACGTCGCCCCAGAGCATCTAAAAACGCTCGCACTCCGAGGCCCTGTGCCTATTCCGGGTCAAGAAATGGCGCACGTGATGGCGCACAAAAACAGATGATGCACGTGATGGCGCACAAAAAGAGATGCACGTGAGCACGAATGGTACAGAACAAAGTCCCTGACCACAACCCGCGAGGAGGAACATGCGGAGCAAAACCGGGAGCAGCGACATTTTCAGTGGAGGACAGGCTGCGGTCTGACTCGGGCGCTCTCAGGGGGAGGATTCTCACTGGGGGAGAGGCGGCGTCCTGACTCGGGCGCTCTCAGGGGGAGGATTCTCACTGGGGGAGAAGCGGCACTCTGACTCGGACGCTCTCAGGGCGAACATTCTCACTGGGGGAGAGGCGGCATTCTGACTCGGTCACTCTTAGGGGGGACAAGTGACACTCTCACCCACTCACTCACTCACTCAAGAGAGAGAGAGAGAGAGAGAGAGAGAGAGAGAGAGGAGAGAGAGAGAAGAGAGAGAGAGAGAGATGGAGAGAGAGAGAGAGAGAGAGAGAGAGAGAGAGAAGAGAGAGAGAGGAGAGAGAGAGAGAGAGAGAGAGGAGAGAGAGAGAGAGATAGAGATGGAGAGAGAGAGAGAGAGAGAGAGAGAAGCAGCACACTCCACGGGGGCGCTCTGAGTGGTTGGAGGCACGGCTGGCACTCTACGCTCGACGACCGAAACCACCAGCTTGATAGTGGCAGGCATAAGCTATTGAAAGTATTGAATTAAATATCAACATAAACTATTGAAAGCCACTGGTAGGAGCTATGGGAAATCTGCAGCCTGTTCTCCGCTTCCATTGCTACTGGGCCGTCTCCTCCCCTTCTCCCTCTCCTCCTTGCCAAATTAGTCAAACGCGACTAGGTGCGACAACACGGCCGTACAGCCGCCAGTTTTAACGGCCTCACCAGATGGGATGGGATTACGGGGACCAGGAGACAGGGATGTAGATAACCGCGCGTGCCGGGTCAAGGGTCGGGATCAGGCGCCAGGCAGGTCACATTACAAGGGGATTCAGGTCAGTAGGACGCCCGCGAGGGGGAGTCGCACTGCATGCAAGTAAATTTGAGCCTTGTGCTTAGACTCGTGAATATGGAATTTAGTACATTAGACGTCTGAGCAAGTCGCGATTTTAAGGCACGAAGCGAGGAATGCGAGCGAGAGATGAACAGATCGTATGCGCTGCCTCTCATTGGACGTCTGACGAGACCGTTTCAAAAAATGGTGGCAAGGAGCACAGTAGCTGGTCTTTAGTCTAACTGATTCAGTATGCATTTCAAAGTAAGCAGGTTTTACTACCTCGGACAGCACTTTATAGAGAAAAAGGCGACGGCTTTGTCTTCACTGTGAATAATGTCATTATTCGCCACAATCCTCCGTTCCATTATGTTTGTAACTTAATTTACGAATGCATGATAGAAAGTCAGAGTAAATAAAACCACGCGCCTTGTTACGGATTTTTTAACCACGTGGCTGATGGGCTTCCGAGCTAGCGACTCGGTTCGGCTTAACTTTTGGAGACCGTACAGACAGATCAGCCAGTCAGAGCTAAGATGCTGCTTCCGGGAGCTCTCATCCGTGAAGTCCACGGTCACCTTACACTTCTGAATGTATTGGTCGCTAAAGGGCAGTCTGAACGAGGTAATGTATCGCTCGCTAAAGGGCAGTCGGAACGAGGTAATGTATCGCTCGCTAAAGGGCAGTCTGAACGAGGTAATGTATCGCTCGCTAAAGGGCAGTCTGAACGAGGTAATGTATCGCTCGCTAAAGGGCAGTCTGAACGAGGCAATGTATCGCTCGCTAAAGGGCAGTCTGAACAAGGTAATGTATCGCTCGCTAAAGGGTAGTCTGAACGAGGTAATGTATCGCTCGCTAAAGGGCAGTCTGAACGAGGTAATGTATCGCTCGCTAAAGGGCAGTCTGAACAAGGAGCCTATATTCAAGGGTTTTTAGCTGCAGGCAATGCATGGCGATTAAAATGACGCGTAAAATTCAGCAACCGTTTGAGATTAAGTGCACAGCAGTGTCCTGACATTGTTTCCACTTGTGTGAAAGGGTAATGTCATTATTTACAAGGAGGTGATAAATTATGTACTTACTGAAATGTTGAACAGCACAAAAATGGACCCGAGCATACAACATCTGACTGCTTATTTATTGTCCCCTTCTCCTTCCTTTCTTCCAGGCCCAATCACAGTCATGTTGGTCTGGTATCTTACCCAAGCACAAATATTTCCTAATTCTAGACTTCCTCGTCACCCACTCTCTACTGAAGACCATGTGTGCATGATGTACTTATGAACGTGACCATGTGTTATGATAGAAAGGGTGCTAGAATACGATGCTCAGGTATAGACATCATACCCTTAAAAAGAGGTCCAGAAACGGGCTCCATGCAAAAGAAAATCCCTATAAAAGGGTACATGGCCCTCCAAGTCGCTGGGATCAAACTTTGAAACTGGACCAACATTCAAAACGGCGACGGATGCAAAACCTAACCTAACCTAGCCTAACCTAACCCGATATCGAATGCCTCAGTAAAGTACTCGTATCGTTAGCAATTTTTGGTTCATTTGTATTGCATGAAAAAACATGTCAGATGCCAGAGCGACCTTAAGGAATTTCTCTCAGCATAGCTGTAAAGGGCACACTTTACACCAATGAAACCACGTTGCTACGATTTCAACTCAGCAGACGTTGCAGACGCCAATTTTTCGCAGCGTTGTGTGGAGTGCAAGGAAACTGGGCCTGCCGACAAGTTTTTTATTCCACATACTTAGAATGCGTAAGATGCATCAGCCCAACAAATCTTGAAATCATGACATCTGTCGACTTTTGCATATTATTGCTGCCCCAAATTATCTACAGCGGATGCACCGTAATGCGACGCTCATTCCTCCTTGTGTTGAGACTAAAGCTGCCGGATTGCTGCTTTTTAGGATGCTCAGCAAAAAAAGCGAATACCAAATGAAGGGGAATATGCCACAGCCTTTCGCGCATTTACACTGCTAATGGTTCTTGGGAACCCCATCCTTGCCAACTATTAAGGAGTGACGCGAAGGGGTGCGCTGGCCATTAGTGTCAGGTGGTTTTTGTCGGAGGCCAGCGGCCTATGTCAATACCTAGTCCGGTTCAGCGCGTTGGTGGGAAAGCGTTCCGTCTTCGGGTATCTCCGTCATTGCTTGGCAGACGACGATACACTTCGAGCAGGCTGAAAGCCAGGTAACTCTCGGCCCTGATGCCCAGTTTTTTATAGCACAGACTTAAGGGAGGCCCCATGCGACCCCCTGCCGTTTCCAATCCAAAAATGAAGCTTCTTGAAAGAACTGAAGTATGCTATGTGAAGTATCCCGGTTGGTAACGACATGCGTGTCGCTAGGCTCAAAATTAGCCCGATCAGGCCAGGTGAAAACTAGAATTGCCCTGAAATCAGAACTTTATCAGCTTTACACGCTCACATCTATAAGACCATGCATGTGGCGACACGAGGTTTTTACAGACCTATCCACTGTCTAATTTTGACTGCAACGAAATGCAATTTTCTGTATTTCGAGCATACGGGTATGATATGGGGCTTCGTCGATGTAGCAGTGTCGGCCCACCGGGAAGCCTGGCGGAATCGCTGGTCGCAGCCGCCGCCCACCCCGGCTGTGGTTCGCCGTGCAACATTCATAAAAACCGTCGCACTCAGAGACCAGAAATGCGGCTATCGCAAAATCGCAGCGCAACTGCACCATACACCGGAGAGGTACCTCCAGAAGTTCACCAAAAACGCCACGCGGTAGGCGATTCCTCCAGAAGTTCACCAAAAACGCTACGCGATAGGCGATTATTTTCAACAAGCGTGGGCATGAATTCTTCGGACAGTCGTATCATGAACCCCGTGAAGTTATCGTGGGTGCGACTTCTTAGGGGGAGGGGGGGACATCACGGATGCTTTTACTACAATGAGGCTTAGATCACTCTAAAACAGGCTGGCATTTAACACAAAACCCATGCAATAAAAAGAAAGAATGATTTGACAATTCTGATATAGAAATTAGCGCAATGGTCGTTGGGTAACCATGTGCATTTATAAATCGACGGTGGTATCTTGCGGTGTGTTTTTAATTAAGTTGGATACAATTAGTTAAAAGAAAGCGTGGTAGCATAAGTTGTGCTCGCTCCATACTTCCC